CTGAGCCATCAAGTTTTTCCCCAAGGACCCTTTTGCGAGTCTGGATCGGTATTTTTGCCATTAGAGTAGCTCCAGGAAGCTGATATCATTTCAGAAGGGCTTCAGGATACTAGGGACCACAGACCAGGAGAGGGCTGATGTATCTTCAGGGGTGGGGGGAGTTGCCTGGTCTAGGGTGGGCTGAGGGTAAGGTGAGCAGCTGGGCTTCCTCAGACCCAGGGCTGCACTGGGAACACATATAGGACTTTTTGAGATTGGGTTAACCCTTTCTTAGATTGTACTAACCCAATCTCAGTCTAAGTTAATACATCTACTCAGGTGGATGCACGATTTTGGCGTGATTTAAGCCCTCTGCACCCCAGTACAGTTAGACATTTAGATCAACCTACCCCTGGTTAGGTCAGTCTAAACATAACACAGTCTAAACATAACCCCTGTACCATTCATGAATTCCCCTAAACTGCTCCATGTGTATGCTGGGAGGATACTGGGAGCATTGGTGTTAAAGTGATTGGGAATATACTAGGAGTATACTGGAAGTATTGGAGTTATAGTATATTGGGAGCATTGGAGTTAGAGTGACTGGGAGTATACTGGGAGTATTGGAGTTATGGTATACTGGAAATATTGGAGTTAGAGTGACTGGGAGTATTGGAGTTACAGTATACTGGGAGTATTGGAGTTAGTGACTGGGAGTATACTTGGAGTACTGGAGTTATGGTATACTGGGAGTATTGGAGTTATAGTATATTAGGAGTGTTGGAGTGAGAGTGACTGGGAGTATACTGGGAGTACTGGAGTTAGAGTGACTGGGAGTATACTGGGAGTATTGGAGTTTGAGTGACTACAGGCCGCGTGGGAGGGGCTGAGATGAGAGGAACCTGATGGTGGTCTGAGCTTAATCCAAAACCTCACCAAAGTGAAAAAAACTGGTCAGATCTGCATGGACCGTGATTTTTTTTTTGCCTTTCTCTTCAGTGGGGGGCATGGTTTTCTTCCTGGCATCATCTTGAGTGTATTTTAACAATCAGCAGATGCACAGCATTGACCATGCCCTCATCACCCTGTTTTTCTACCTGTGGGCAAGGTAGGGTGTTTGTGGTGTTTTAGGGTATTGTGTTTGGGGGTTGTACAAGAGGGTTGCTCGTGAAGTTTTAATAACTTGTGCAGCATAGTTTAGGCAGGGATTATTCTGCCATGAGCTGGGGGTTGGCCTAGGTGACCTCTTGAGGTGTCTTCCAGCCTTATGTTTCTGAGATTCTCTGATGCTGGGACTGCCATTGACTCCAGAGATCTACAATGACAGCTCCTCCCCAGGGGTGCTCATCATGTGACAGAAAGAGGTTGGAAAGGATTGTGCATGATGAAAAAAATGCAATCCTGAACAATGTCCTACTTTTTGGAGAACTCATGAAAATGAGCTATAGAAAGAGTGGTTGTGCTTGGACTTCTCTGGCCAGTGCACTAAATAAAATACCCCAGTAAAGCAATTAGGAAAACATAGGGGCTAAAAGATGTTTCACAATATAAAATAAACTCAGTTTATGTAGTGCAGTGCTTTCGCTGTGTCTCAGAATACCATGCAGGGTTTAATTCTCCAAGGAAGTGACCACTGTATGCTATAGATAGTACACAGCCATGGGGTAAGGATGCGGTACAAGGTCCTCAGAGCTCATTCAGAGGGATAGAGAAATTCAGATGCCCAGGCAGAGAATATGTAGATATGTTCAGGTGAGATCTGAAAGTATATGGGAGGTGAAAGTACACAGATGGCTTGAGAGAAAGGACCAGTAGGGAACAGCATTGTGAAATATATTCACACCTAGCGATTTATGGATTTGGTGGAGAAATTACTGTGCGAGGGTTTCTGGGCTGTGCTAAGTAGGTGGTCAGATTGGATAGTTATAACGATCCCTTCTGGACTTAGCAGCGATGCATTTATTCAGTGAATTTAATTCTTTCTTCCCTAGGTAACTAATTGGGGACAGACTTTAATTATTGCAAATGTCTTCCTGACTCTTTAAGCACTCTAGGGTGCATTTTCCAAAAGTGCTGGTGGCACTGTAAAGGGGCCTGACTTTCCAAGAGCAGACAGACTCTCCCTGCCTTTTTCCAAGTGTCAAGGGAGTTTTAATGAGCAGACATGAGGCTTTATCAAAATAACAATGGTTCCAGCACTCTGGCAGCCCCTGAGTCATTACTTTTGGGTGGGCTCCAAGAAAAGGCGGCAAACACTTTCTGGACATGCAGGTCCTTCTTGGCTGATCTCCCTTCCAAGTATTTGCTGGGTTTGACATTCCTCATTTCAAGGTATCAGAAAGGATTGTAGCCCAAGGGAGCCACTGCTTGCGGTCTTCCTGTTACAGTGCAGATGAGCAGGTGATCTGGCATCCTACCAAAAAAAAAAAAGGCGGAAGGAGAGGGTTCCTATCATATCCCTTTTTATTTGTATAATACTGGAATCATCTTTGCTACCAGCTTTTTGGTGTTCAGCCAGACGTTAGCCCAGGGTTTCTCTTGTCCCTGGGCTAAAGTCCTTGGGATTCACTGAACCTCGCACGCTGAGCAGGAAGCTTGAACTAGCTATCAGGGAATGCTAAACACAAGGGTCTGTCTTAAATCCTCCACCATTTGGAAACAGAAAAACCCCAATGGGAGTTGAAAGGAAGTGCCTATGTCAGCTCACGTTCACAGCCCCAAATTCACTTCTGGCCTTAAACAACTAAATTGTAGCATTCAAAGAGGAGCAGGGGTTTCTCTTTTTATATAATAATCCCTTGATGGGTAAAGCCGTCCCCCAAAGGGTAGGGTATGTGGGTTCTAGGCCTATTTTTTTCTCAGGGGGCACATCTATACATGCAATGTGTAAACTCAATAACTCCGGCACAGTTTGTGCCGAATCAATAAACTCCGGCACAGTTTGTGCCAAATTATTGCTCCCGTGGGCTGCGTTTGAACATCCTAAAGGTTGATAGGTGATGATGAACAGGAAATATATACTGCTCCAGCTCATCTCCCAGTGTACATCAGCCTACCTCCCACAACAGAGGGATGCTAGTTTGTGTCAGCTGATGATCTGCCGTGGTGTGCAATACATTGCCAGCCTTCAGAAAATGTGACTTGACTTTTTTGAAATGTCTTCATGATGAGGCAAGAATTCCTGGGGATGGTATCTTTTCATGGGCTGACTTTGAGGGTGCCTAGACATTGGCCAACTTTCGGGTACCACCGCACGCTTCCTCAGGCGTGAAGAAGTAAACTTGCCTGTGTCTATCATAGACGCTTCCCTATGTGTAGCCTAGCTATGCTGTTGGTCCAATAAAAGGCATCACCTGCAAGAAGTCTTGCCTCTCCCATGTTTCTTGCACCATCACCTGAACACTGCCTTCTTCATAATGACATTTTTACCTGCTGAGATCCAGCATCAATGGACCGAAAAGTGAACTCACATTGCTCTGTCTGCCCTGTTTTCAAGCCATATCAAGTCATTTCCCATGTTTGCGCCTTCCATGTCCTTCTACCCATGGGTGGATCCAGGGTCATGGGGACAGGGGTGCGGCCACAGCCCCTTTGGCAGCGTGGCGTATGGGCAGTGAAGAGCTCTCACTGTACATGCGCCACACAGCCATGCTTTCTCACTGTGACCCTTGAAGCCAGTGAAGCAGTAGCAGAGCCCAGGGGTGAGAGCTGCCGCTGTTTGCCTAAAAAACCTCCCAACAAAATGTTACAGACATTAGAAGCAGCAAAGAAATCAGCTTGTTTGCAGCCAAACAGCTCCATGTGCTCTTTTAATTTAAATGGGCTTCCGTTATAATCATCCTGTTACGGCTGCTAATATTGTTAGTTTGCGGTGTCAGCATGGAGCAAAATTCAATTTATTTTGCCATATAAAAACTGGAAAAGCAGCATTGTGTTCAGCCTTGAATGGTAGCAATTCAGAAGTGGGTTCCTTTTGTTGAACAACAGGAAATACTATTTTAAGGACCTGTTTAGGATGTCTTTTTTGTGTATTTAAGGTTACCCGCGGCTGGGGTATAATAGAAGAAAACGAAAAGAAAAAGAAACCCTTCTCGCACATCTTCGTTTTTGCTTTACGTTAACGTAAATTTAGAAGAGGAGAGGGATTAAATGAGATATGCTCCAGTGCTGCAGATTTGAAGGGGGTATAGCTAATATAAAGCCACAATGTAGGTTTCTTAAAGGACTTTTAAAGGTGAAATGCCATTCATATGTTCTAGGTGTACATTATTCTTCATTTTTAGCAGTCTACAGAGCAGTAAATAGACTAAAAGTAGGATTCAGTTTTCTCGGAAAGTTGCATTTCTGGCCGACAAGATCCCATAAAAGAAACGCTTGTCAGCTGGTCCTAATTCTGTCAGTCAACTTCCTATGCTATAAAAAAATAGACACGTAGAAGTTATTTTGGAATTTAGAAAGCAAAAGGTAACAACGGTTTAAGAAGCTCATGAAAACCCTTCCACATATGTTTTACAGCTCACCTGCTGAATAATGCAAGCCACAAATATCAGACACACACACACTCAGCCAGCAGGACCTCGCACCATGGCCTTTCATGTATTGACCGACTGTTGTTGACTCTTTATATCACACCACTACCAAAAGGCCACAAATAAAACCGGGAACCTGTTGTATTAAAATCCCAGGCAGAAGGTCAGATCCTGTCCTAAAGAGCTTCCAGTCTAAATTAAAGGGTGTGTTTTTCCAACTCTAAGTCTAGATGCTTAAAAACCATTCTGGGCAGTTTAGGGATAGAGCTGAGTGAATAACAGCTTTTTTGGATCGGTACAAAAAACCCAGAAAATACGAGAAAAATCTTGTGTCGGTTGAACTAAAACAGTGTTCTCGTCAAAACAAAACAAAAAAAAGCTCACCTTTCTGATTAATCTCAAAGCTTTTTTGTTTAATTCAGAATAAAAATATTTTAATTCGTTTTGGGGCTATCTGGGGCTTTTTTCTTGAAGTCGGTTTTCTACCAAGAAATGCCATTTCAAAATGAGGAGCTGAGCTGGTTTGCAATGATCAAAGTAAGACATTTTGACATCTGCAGAGTGACAAAAAAATCATTTTGAAAATATTAAAATGAAACGTTTTTAAATTTTCAAAATTCCCCTTCCCCCCCGTTCTTTTTGGCCAAACTCTTTTTTTCCCAGCAAGTTACTTTTTTCTTGATTAAAAAAAAATAAAATGACCCAACCTTCATTAAACATATAATCACTAACATCTGAATCAAGTAATGACCCATTTCTATCTTTTTTCTTTTTTGATTCAGGTTACATCTATCCATCCAGAATGCAGGATATTCCAGCAGGTGGTAAAAGATGAAGCTCTATGTTTACAGAAAAATGAATCGATTTTACCAGATTTTGAAGGTAAGAGACCTAGGACTAATGATACCAATCATGACAAAGTTGGGTCTTCATACAGCTTGCAGTGACATTAGACACATAAGCAAGCATGGCTTTCCTGAGCCAAGAGAAATTTTCCCATTGCTTATGATCGGAAAAGAATTTGTGCCTTGAAGAATATGGGCTTTTTTTGTCTTTTGATTGATTAATGTCAATCAGTATTCACATGCATTGAGATTTTCTAAGTATAATTGAAAATGGAACTTTATAGCTAACAAAAGCAATTCTTCCCCAGTATTATATAAAGGCTAAAACAAGGTATTAAGCGTCAAGATTTTTTAATGTACCTGACTAGGGATTTGGAAAGCTTTAGTTTTCAGACCATCCAACCAGAGACACTTTAAAGAGACCCAGTTTCTAGCAGGATGGATTCCCAACACTTTCTTAAAACCAGACCTCTCATATGTGTAACAGGTTGGGTACAATCAAATAGCAATCCTGAGCCACATTTGAAAATTTTGCATTTCAAGTTAATTTTATTGCCTCAGAACTCAATAAAAGCTTTCTTAGGAGCTTTTTTGGGCAGTGGAGAGAAGGAAAGCCCAGGGGTTAGGGTGCTAATGAGAGATTTGGGGAAGTCATTGAAAGTCACTCTCAAATTTTGCACCTTTCTGGCATTAAGGCGCGTCTGATTAGTAGCTGCCTAGAATGCAGGGGCCGGTTTTTATAGTTAGTGTTTCATAGATGCCAACATGCCTGGGATTTTTCTGCAGTCAACACGTCATGACCATCGTAAGGTTTCTTGGGAAATATGTGAGGTTATTCCTACATGCCTTAGATGAAATCTTAGCCCCATTAAAGTCAAAGACAGAACTCCCATGGATTTCAACTGGTCAGGATTTCACCTTTTGCATCATTTCCTTCAAATCAGCTAAGGCGTAGCTGATGCAGGATACGATGATGAAACAACAGGCCTATACAGCTCAATTTGACAATATAGCTAAATTTAACTACATAGCTAAATTTGCCACTTACCTGACCTGTACGAAACCTATGGGTGGGAATGCTGCCAAAGTGCTAATTATTACATTTTTCTTCTCTTGTTTTCTTGTGTTGTTTTACCAACTGAAAAAAATCTCTCCCTTTTCAAAGCTGATGTTGGTTTTAAGTTGTATGTCTGAGTTTCTCAGAAAAGAAATGGTGCAGCTCAGATGCTAAATTCTCTCCATATAAGGGGTTTAGTCCATCTGTCTGTGTGTCTGTCTGTCTGTCCGTAATGTGCTTGGGGGCATGGCTCCAGCCAGTGCTGCATCAAGAATGCATGTCAAGAATGATGGGCAAGGCATGGTGCCAGTGGACATGGAGTGGCAGTGGGGGGAGGGAGGGTGGGTGGTACGAGGCCAGATGTGAAGTGGTGGGGGGTAGTGTGGAGCCAGATGCAGGGCAGCGGAGGGTGGGAGTGGCACGGGGCTGGATGCAGAGCGGCGGCAGCATGGGGTGGTGGGTGACAGCAAGCTTCCCCCCTGCCCATTCTGGGGAGGTGGTGGTGGTGCTCCGTCCCCGCCCCCTCTCCCCCTCATTATTCTTGATGGGAATTTCACTAGAATATATATAAGACTGTGCACATGGCAGTAAAGCAGGAAAGCACCTTGCCTTTGCACAGCTGCGATGGAGATAGCAGGAGACCATACCACTGAGAATCTAGGCTAAGACAGAATTGCAGAGC